GTCCTCATATAATTTGGTCTTAGTTTAATTACAAGATTATTTTAAGTGAGAAAAATCGTTATAGCATCAGATGGAAATCGTTGGCACGTGCCATTCTTTAGTAGAAGATTCCTAGATTCTAACAAGAACATGCGCATTTCCATTTTTTTTTTCGCATATAATTTGACATATCATAATCGAAAATATACCATAATTAATTTGTTTAACTGCCCTACGGTTTTCTAAGTACTGCTTTAAAGTCACAAACTTTAGAGTAAAATAGGTTAATGATCAAGTTGTAGATTTGGATAAATTTTACACTGGAAAAAAAGGTTTTTATCAAAATGATTTTTCTACCTATATATTGCTCACTTAAGAAAGATCCATATAAAGTTACATTATGATTAATGTTATGATTTTTGATTGCATGTCGCCTTGATATATTTTTGCAAATATGGTCATCATATCCTTGCTTATATATTATGTAAATTTCAATACAATCATTCTCATGATTGATCTTTTGCAATCAATATATATACTCTAATCCCAACCATGCATAATTGCATATCCTAGTTATCTCTTCACTGATTTTAATTTTATGTGTGTTTGTTCAACAAGTAGATCATCCATATGAAATCATCCTTTTCGTTCTGTTTTTGTTTTGCGGTCTCTTGGATTAGAGCTCATGTGTGATTAACTTTGGATTGATTTCTTTGGTAAATCTTGTCTTTCTATTTGGCGCAAAATATCCTCTCATAAGTTGAGAATCTCATCCATTATCCACAAAAACTGTTTGGCGAATGCCATTACGTATGTTGGAATATTTGCTTAATCGTATCGAAGTAAGCCTAGTTCCAATGAGGCTTACATCAAACACTCTAGACGTGGCTAGTAGGACGGGTTTGCTATTCACAACACAAACCTTAAATTTTGAATTTGGATGATATATTCGGTCAATCTTCTAACTTATGAGTGTAGCTTTTTAATGATCAATTGGGAAGCAAATGTCGTTGACCAACAACAACATTTATTATTGCATCTATTATACGTCAATGACGAGTATTCTTTCTCCTTTCTCCATCTCATGTTGAGCTTCCAAGTTGTTTCTTTTAGTTACATCCAACTTGAATTTTTTTTTCTATTAGAATTTGTACAGTTTCAGCTTGATCAATATTAAAAAAGCATTTAATTATTGGTTGGCAATACTTCGATTTATCACGATCAGGCGTGAGAGGAACTATAGGATCCACTCACCAATTTTGTCCCTCTTCTTCTAAAAATTATGGACCAAACTATTAGGAACAAAGCTCTCATTTTGATACTATTCTGTTCCAAATATATCTGGTCTAACTCACTATCTATTAACGGTGCTCACCTCATCTTGGACTAGACTTCTAGCTAGCATCTGGTTTACACTATTTGACCTCTTCTAATGTTAAATTTTGTGTAAGCCTTCCGGTCAATTCACAATAATGTATCCTATTTTAATTTTAATACCAATTGTTTAGTGGAAAAGTATAACCTTATAGATCTCAAAGTATCCACGGTTTAAACTTTAAAGTTGTTCATGATTTGTTTTTCGAAAATTTCATCACATCTACGATAATAATTGTTTAATGTTTTATTGTATTTCTTTTTAGGATTCACTAAAAGCCTTAACTTTTTTTTTTTGTCAAAACTAAAAGCCTAACCCTTATTCTTAATTTTTTTTTATATTTTGTAGAAATACTGGTATAGTGGTTTACCAAAAATTATTAATGTTTCTGAATTAGATATGCGATTCGATTTATAGAGAATGCAAATTTTGCAAAATGACATTTCTAACATGGTGCAAGTGGAATCGATTGTCCTGGTCACATATGTTAAATGTAAAACTGTCCATTGTGAATGTGATTCAAGTTGAACTATCTATGATATATTTTTTTGGGATGGTTCAAAATTATTTGTTTGTAAATGTAATAGTAGATGACAAAAGAAAAATATAAACAGCAAACTAGCGCAACAAAACATGACAAATGTTAGTGAATCTTTTCGACATTCTCATATTATGAACAACTATAATTGTTCATCCATATAAAAATTACATTGGTAAAAACACATTTTGATATTACATCCTATGTAGATTTTTGATTTTGACTCATATTATTTTAAATTATTCTTATATAAAAATGTATTGAATTTGTGTACTTTTTTACATTTTT